CAAAGGAAACAATATCGGAAGCATCCATTGCTTGACAGTCTTGTCTCCTGATGAGCTAAAAGGTTACTACGCTTTGTCATTTATATTCTGGTCATATTTTTCTGTGGATAAATAATTTTTTTATTTTAATGGAAAATACTTAAAGTTGTATTGCTTGACGGAGAAAAGCGGCAATATACCCTTTCAGAAAAGGCACGGTGGCTTGGGAAAGCCTGGCCTGCTGACCTATTTCATTATTACTTTGCTTTAAATCTTTTTTTTTTTTTTTTTTCCTCCCTCCCCATTCTCCTATGGTGATGGCAAAATAAGTTCCTTGGAAGGAGATTATCACAGAATCACGGAATTTTCAGAGTTGGAAGGGACCTCTAGAGATGCTCTAGCCCAACTCCCCTGCTAAAGCAGGATTGACCGGAGCACGTCACTCAGGACTGCATCCAGACGGGTCTTGACAATCTCCAGAGAAGGGACTCCCCCACCCCCTGGGCAGCCTGTGCCACTGCTCTGTCACCGAACCGTAAAGAAGTTCTTCCGTGTGTTGGAATGGAACTTCCTATATTCCAACTTGTGCCCATTGCCCCTCGTCCTGTCACTGGGAACCACCAAGAAGAGTCTGGCTCCATCCTCCTTCAACCCACCCTTTAGATACTGGTACGCAATGATAAGCTCTCCCCTCAGCCTTCTCTTCTCCAGGCTAAAGAGTCCCAGTGCTCTCAGCCTTTCCTCGTAAGGGAGATGCTCCAATCCCTCCATCATCTTGGTTGCCCTTCGCTGGACTCTCTCCAGCAGTTCCCTGTCCCTCTTGAACTGGGGAGCCCAGAACTGGACACAGTATTCCAGTTGTGGCCTCACCAGTGCCGAGTAGAGGGGGAGAATGACCTCCCTCGACCTACTGGCCACCCTCTTCCCTATGCAGCCCAGGATTCCATTGGCCTTTTTGGCAACAAGGGCACATTACTGGCTCATGGACAATTTACTATCTACCAGGACCCCCAAATCCTTCTCCTCAGAGCTACTTCCCAGCAGGTCCCCCCCTAACCTATACTGGTGCCGATTATGGCTGGTTTTTTTTTTTTCAACCAAAAATTTTCAATTTGCTTAAATATACCTCAGCACCTTAGCCCCTTCCTCACTGGCAGTATTTGAGGTGCTGCTATTTTTGGATGGTTCTAATATTGCAATCTGAGTTGTAAACAGAGTTGGACAACAGCAACGTCTAACTCCAGCAGCCTTTTAGGGAGGATTGTGAGTTTGAAGGTGATCTGTAACCTCAGCAGGTTCGTAACAGTCTCACAACAGCACTTCTGCTGTCCCGCAGGCTTGACTTCCTCTAACACATGCCTGCAGAGGAAACAGAAGTTTGAAAACATCTGTTTGTGGTCCAGATTAAATTTAGTTTCCCATCCATACCATTTAGGACCTTTTAGGGGATCTCTTAGTGTTTTATGGACAAGAAACTCACTTTCTTGGGGCAGTAATGTTAGTGGGAGTGTAAATACAGGAGATGTGCCTCTTCCCCAGCCTTCCCAGTACAGAGGGTGATTCTAATGCCGTGGTCATTTCAGTATCTGGGCAGCTTCCAGTACTGGACCTGTATCCTGACACTTGTTTCTTTCTTTTAGCTACCAGACCATGCTTCCTTCGTTACACACCAGCCGGCTGCATAATTAAGTATGTGACTGAGTCCTTCCTCCCATCTCAGTGGGGAGCACAGGTCGCTGGTTTTAACCAGACAGACTCTTCCAGACTGGGACGCCCAAACCAGTATCACCCTAACGCTTAGGATCTAGCTGTGCATTAGACCACCGTTGGTATCTCATGGATGAAAATCCACTGCCTAAATACATACAGTTCCCTTCTGCTTCTATCCCCTGTGAAGATGTCAAAATGAATAGAGTTAGCTTTGATGCTCCACAGTGAAGTTGGTGTTATGTGTGGAAATTGTAGTCTCTTAGCAGCAGCTGTTCATTTTATGTGATTCTTGTTGTTAGAAGTGTGTAGAGTGTTGGAGAGAAACCAAACATAGACATGGGAAATAAAGGGATTCTGTAGTCTGGACTACTTTTTTTTTTGTGTTTTAGCTACAAACCCACGATCTCTAGGTGAGAAGGCAGGTTGCTGTGGCCTCCCTCTCTGGTCAACGGAGGAGGGCTGGAACATCCTGAGGAGCTTGGCCTCCAAGGTCTGAATTGTCAGTTAACCAGGCAGAGTTGAGCAGGGTGAAACGCTTTGGAGATTGGGTTTGGCTTTTTGGGAAGTTCAGCAACAGTTTGGAAAGATGCACCTGGATTTCTTTGTATTAGTAAATAAGAAACTGTGCCAAAGCGGCTACCTCAGATTTGGCTTCTCAGGAAGACCAAGGCTGCTATGGTGGCTGCAGAAGAAGTTTTGTAAATGGATACGTGGGGCTAACTCATCCTAAACCCTAGGATGTGATGGTTGGGAAACTTGATCTGTTGAGCAAGCGGATGGCTGTCTGACTGCCCATGGCCGTTTCGGGGATAACACAATGTTTGCAAAAGTCTTGGCTAGCTGGGCAAGTCCAGATGAGATGATGGATTGCAGCCATCCTCTGCATGTCTGAAGCAGGGTAAGACCAGCATGGTTTGGTTGTTGTAGTGTCTACAGCATTGTTTTTATGGTAATGGGTGTTTTGACTGAGGCACTGGAACAGATTGCCCAGCAAAGTTGAGGAGGCACCATCTCTGGAGGTGTCCAAGGCCAGGTTGGACAGAGCTTTGAGCAACCTGATCTAGTGGAAGGTATCCCTGCCCACCTAGTTGGAACTAGATGAGCTTTAAGGTCCCTTCCAACCTAAACCATTCTATGACTTCATACACAACAGACTTCTTTGGGTTGTTCCAAGTCTCCTTTCCATATCTTGGTCCTGCTGCTACATCAGAAACTTCATCTTATCCGTTGTTCAACAACGTCTGTGCCCCTGGCATTTGAACGAGAAGCTTTCTCTTAATGCTGTCCAGGGAATGTTTTCCCTGAATTTCTGATGCAGTTTTTGTTCCCTGTGAAAACAGATGTGCTTAAGTCGAACATGGAAAGTGGTTTTAAAAAGAGTCCCGTTTTGAGGACAGGACTCTAAAATAATTGCATCCCTATTTTTGGTATCTTCAAGTTGGAACTGCCTTTGGAAGAGATGTTTCATAAATGTCCATAACGTTCAGTTCACTGAGTTGCAGAAGACATTTTGAGGCATATGGAAACAAGCCTTTAGAAACCAGGTGGTGATGGGGAAAAAAGTTAAAAATCTGTCGTATTTCACCTCTTTGGTCAGGAAATGTGAGGTTGAAATAAATGCGTCTGACTCCCAGTCACTCCCCACCCTACTTTTTCGTCTATTTGTTGTCTGGACTACGGCAACTGCCTCCTTGCTTCTGAGCTTCTGCTGCTTAAAATGCTGCTGCAAAAGATAACTTCTTCCTCCACAGCTTTGGTCATGCCTTGTCCCTTCGTACTCTTGCCTGAGTTCAGAGGAAGACTCTGGTCCTCACCTTTAAGCTCCTTCTACCTCCCATTTGTTCTTCTATTCCTGTTTGCCCCTGTATTTGCAGCTTCATCTGTGGTGTCCTCCATTCTCCGTTTCTTCCATGGAGCATCCCATCTTTGTAATAGTCTCTCTTGCCATATCTCAATTATTTGTTCCTTCTTTGTGTACAACTATTGATTAGTTTGGTCAAAATAACCCGCTTGAAAAAGTACTTTCTCCTGGTCTGGGTCTCAGTGTCTCATTGGGAGACACCAATTGATTCCATGGTTTGGTCATCAGGACGTGGGTTTTGTGTTCAGTAGAAGCCTGGTGTTTATTTTCCCAGGCTGAGGGGTTTTTTCATGTTGATTATTTGCAGCGTGTCACGTATTTATGGCACAATATGGATAACAGAAGCCACTGAAAGCTTTTGAAGGGCAAAGCTGCGTGTGATGGCACGGCTTGTCTGAGTTCATAGAGCAGTTACCCACCCGTGTATCTGAGACCACTGTGTGGTCTGTGTCTGTGCTCCTAGCTCTCTCCTCCTGACAAGCCGAACAGGTTTCCATGAAGAGGGCGTCAGTCAAGAGCTTTAAATTCAATGGCTATACTTACAGGGTTAGAATTTGCTGGGTATATTTTATTGTTGCCTACAGCTGATCATCTCTTTCCTTCTCCTGTTTGCCCTGGGGATTTGGGGGAATCTGGTTTTGAGGGTTGATGTGCTAATTCTTCTAAAGTAGTTTGAAAATATCTTGAGGATGTGCCGTTCCTTTTCCACAAATGTATGGTAGACACACGCTGAAAATATCTGCGTACCTCTCGTCTTGTTCCTTCTGCACAGATTTATGTGCATGGCGTGTGGGTCAGTGCCCTGCTGACTATGTAAGCTGCTACTTTGCTCAGTGGTTTACCACTAGATGCATTAAATAAATATGCTTTATGTAATATTTGTGCTTGGGTTGTAATGATTTTGCCTGCTTCCGGACTCTAAACAAGCAATGCAACAAAAGTGGTCTCCAGTACGCAACTTGCTGCCAGTAAACTTCTGTACTGGCATCCTCCTTTGTGTCCTGAGCTATTGAGGTTGGAGGAGAGAGGTTGTGTATCGCCCTTGAGCATCTTCCCTGAAAGCTAGATGTTGAAGTGGCAAAAATAAGTTCTGGCTTTCATCAGACCTCTTCATATGTAGTGGGTGAGGGGCATATAATCTCGGGGCTACAAGGTCCTTAAAGGCTTTTCCTCCAGCAAAGATGACTGCCTCTGGGTGTCGTGCCATGTTGTTTGGAAGTATGGATTTTTCAAAACTCTTAAACTTCCAAGTTTCTCTTCTGGCTCCTGGTGTAGTCATTATTTCCCTCTCGTAGAAGACCACTGCCACCAGGAGAGGTAATCTCTGTTCCCTCTTGGTCACAGCCTGCTCACCTACCTGGCTCAGAAACCTCTGGCTGTCCTCCCTTATGGTGCATCAATGTCAGTAACACCTTCCTGTGATTTTTATCTCCTCTGACAGTAGCTATTGATGGAAGAACACGGGGTGACCCAAACAGAGCACATGGCCACCATCGAGGCCCATGCAGTGGCCCAGCAGGTGCAGCAGGTCCATGTGGCCACCTACACAGAGCACAGCATGCTGAGCGCAGACGAAGACTCGCCGTCTTCGCCTGAGGACACCTCCTACGATGACTCTGACATCCTCAACTCCACGGCTGCTGATGAGGTCACTGCCCACTTGGCTGCCGCAGGTAAAGTCAGCGGGATGCTCGGTGTCGTTTGCCTCACGTAGCAATCCTGCAGAGGTTGCGAACAGCGCTTGAGGGTGGTGGGTGGTCTTCTCACCCCATGGAGCGCTCTGAATGCCTCCTTATGGCCCTGGCTTTAATAGCGCTTCTTCACAACATCTGCTGGCTGCTCCAATCTCGCATCGCTTGATCTGTGTGTAATGTAGAGGTGCTGGGAATAAGAGACTGGTTTGTACAATAAAAAAGGTCGCTGGTAAATGCTGCCTCAAATAACAAAACTAAAATACTGAATATGTCAAAGAGCAAGTTTATTTAAGGCCCATATAAACAACAGCAAAAATAACCTGGGAGTGCAACGCAACCCTGCTTAGGCCAGGGAGCTCACAGGCTAGGCCTCTCCCAAGGAGATGTCACCAAGGGTCCTGGCATATCTGGGCTGGGAAAGTATTTCAGAATCACAAAGTCCTTCCAGTGAAGGCCCTGTCAAACGTTCTCCAGATTTGCCTTTGTTGTGGTTTAACCCCAGCTGGCAACTAGGACCACGCAGCCGTTCACTCACTCCCCCCACCAGGTAGGGTAGGGAGAAGAGGGAGAAAAAGAAAAAAAAAACAACTTGTGGGTTGACGTAAGACGGTTTAATAGAACGGTAATGCAAAAGAAAAGAATAATGAAAATAACAGTGGTAAAAGAATATACAAAATAAGTGATGCAATACAGTTGCTCCCCACTCGACGATCAATTGCCCAGCCCATCCTGAGCAGCAATCACAGATTTCTGCCCCCTGGAGCCAACCCCCGCTTATATACTAAGCGTGCTTTCTATGGTATGGAATATTCCTTTGGTCAGTTTGTCCTGTCTGTGCTCCCTCTCAGCTTCTATGGGAAGCTGGAAAAGTCCTTGACTTCATATAAGCATTACTTAGCAAAAAGTAAAACAATATGTGTTATCAACATTATTCTCATACTAAATCCAAAACACAGCAGGTACTAGGAAGAAAATTAACTCTGTCCCAGCTGAAACCAGGACAGCCTTGTGGTGGATCTACCTCACTAGTAGAAAAATGCAGTGCTAAATAAGCATTTACAGACTTGTCTGACTCCTTGTCAGACTTTATCTGAAGAATAAACCTCTCGATGTGCTTGACCGAACCTGTGAAGTTCCACCATCCCACTGAGCATCCCATGCCCTTTGCCTATGAATTTTTCAACCTCAGCTCCTGCAGGATTTTTTCTTTCCCCTTTCCCTTCTGGCACACAAGCTTTTCAGTCCCAGGTGATGGTTGCAGGAGGGTCATCTGGTGGCTTTCACCTGCCTACGAGTCCTCCCGGTGCAGGGGCCGCCCGGTGTCCCTCCAGCCCCTGGCCAGGTGAGCGGCCCCACTTCCCCGGGGGTTATGGCTGTAGTTGGTGGCATGGGCTGGCACATTCAGCCCAAAGCTTGCCCAAGAGCCCAATGTGGCCCCTCCTTGCTTTTCTGGAGCAAATGTTTTTTTTTCCAGGACCCCAAAAGGCAATGTTTTTATTCTTTTTTCACAAGCACAGGATCATCGGAGCAGTATGCCGCAGTGCTTGCTGCACCCACTGTGGGTAGCGCTCAGGTAGTTTGTTACTGATTTACAAAAACTGGCTCTGTAGTGTCACCCAGAGCTCTGTCCATTACCATGTCCCGTCTCCCGGAGCCGCTGCCTGGAGAGAACCTATCATCAGATGCTACTTTTGTTATTATCTACCAGCTTCCACTGATCCAGGAGCTGCAACTTTGTTAAACACAAAAATACAGTGGTTTTTATGATCTTTCACATCTGACATATGGAGAAACTACACACAGAGTGACTGAGGTCTGCTCAGGAATCAAAGGCAAGTCTTGTGCCCGCATTAGACCCCAGGGCTTTTTGACTCTGACCCTGCACCCATTTCTGGAGTTCACCAATAGAAACACAATCCACTGCGTGTTACTTGGTTTACTTCCAATTAACTTAATTAAACTTCCTCTTAGGTAGACTGTGTGTCTAGAGTTGGATCACCAAAGCGGTAGCGCTGCCCTGCCATGGTCCCTGCTGTCCCTCAGGGGGCTGTTCCAGGATGCTGCTGCTGACTCTGGATTTACAATTTTTTTTCCCACCAGAGCTGGTCATTAATCCCTGGGGAAAGCCTTGAACTCCTGATGCTGTAGTTGAGGCGTTCGAGCCGGATTCATGGCGTTGCACCCAGTCTCTTCTCCCCTACCACCGAGATCTCCTTGATTGCAGTCGCTTATTTAAAGTCTTGCCTTACTTGAGAGTTTTTCAGTATGTTTGGAAGATGAAATCCGTAATTATGTGATTGTAAGGAAAACTCTGGACTGAAATATGTGACTTTCACGTGGGACTGAACTGGGACTTGCCAGACTGGGGAACAGAGCCTTTTCATACACCTCTCCGATGCCGGAGAGAGGGGAGCTCAGCGGGGAATTCGGGTCATCCTGGTCCCGTGTGGAGGCCCTTGAGCTGAGCCCTTGGGACCCATCCCTGGGGCGGACACAATGTCAATGTCCTTTTTGGCCAGTTCTTGAGCTGCATGTGCTGATTCACCCTTTGTGGTTTGATTTCCAGGCCCTGTGGGGATGGCAGCAGCTGCTGCCGTGGCAACGGGGAAAAAACGAAAGCGACCACACGTTTTTGAATCCAACCCGTCAATCCGCAAGAGGCAGCAGACGCGTTTGCTACGGTAAGGACTCCCGCCTGCACTCTGACACCTCGGTCTGCGTCCTCGATCTGTCTCCAGTGCCGTGCGTGGTGAGACCATGTGCTGTCCAGAGGCTGCCCAGCTTGGGGATTTTTTTAGGGCATCTTTTCTGGAACCCAAGAGCTGTGTTTTAGTTTGCAGGAATGGGTTAAATTGCAGCTCTGCTCATCTTTAATGTGATATTATGATCACCAGGACTGACATGACCGTTCCGGTGGGATCCACCGTTCTATTTTAACCTCAGCTGGTCACAAGTTAAATCTGTCATGGTAACATTGCCTTGCAAGATATTCCTAGTGGCTTTAACAGCAGCTGGCCTGAGAATCTGGAGCTAAAGCCATATCCCAGCTCTGCAGTGGCACAAAGGACTTATCTAACTCATGAAAAAAGTCTTTTCTGCATTATGAAACGATCCTGTGAATACATCCAGTGTGTTTGTACCTGGATTTCCTTTGCCAGCAGAGCCCGTTGTGTGAGCTCCGTGCTGAAGACTGACCCAGCCTGTAGTGCAGAGTGCTGTGGGAGAATAAGCGAGGAGAGATGCCTGCCAGAGCCGAAACACTTCCTTTGGCTTTAGAAACTTGCTGTGTAGACACCAAACTTCCGTAGCCCTTCAGGTGTTGCCTTACGGGTGCTCTGAGGCTGTCTGCCCGCCTGATGGCCACCGAGGAGCACTGCTGCTGAAGTGACTGCACAGGCGTTCTGCAAGCCTGGGGAGATCACCTGCAGTTCTGTCTTCAGGAAACATTTGTAAATATTGGCTGGAACTATTTAATAGGTTTTGGAACAAGGCAATTTTTGCTTTTTAAATCGTTTCGGCTTTGACTGGGTTATCTCACAAGAGTTGGAGTATTTGTCACCCTGTTACTTGCTGGGTTCCTCCTGAGTGCACGTTAATGCGCTGAGGTAGCGATGGCCAGAGTTTCATCTTTTCTCCTTCTCTCCTATTCTAATTCTTGTAAAGTTGGTGAGGAATTACGTTGATTTCCTTATATTCTGCTTACTCACCTGCTGAGTTCCACGACACCCTTTGCACGTGATCAAACTGGAAGGAAGTGGAGCGGGGTTAGTGTTAAATAATATCCCCTGAGGGAGGACTCCCTTTCTTTTATAGCTTCATTTGTTTTTCCCTCCTCTCCCAACTCTGCTGACCCAGCTATGTCTATTGCAACATTTCTGGAGAGCAAATTCTTTTCTCTCTTGAAATACGAACAACATATTTTAAAAGAAACTCCTATTTAAAGGTATTATTTCTTCTCCCTTCATGCAACTACTTCATTTTACTACATGCCAGTTACTGACAAAATGCATCATTTTTTTTGCACTCTGATCGGTTTGACATGTTTGTGCTTGATATTTACACCACTGTGAATCGAGTGGGATGTTGCAGTTTCTGATTCTGGGATCTCTGTGTAGCTGGTGGTGGTGGTGGTGCTTTTTGGCAACTGCTGACAGCAGGTTCTGAAATGACCAGGACTAAACTGTCACCTTATGGAGTGCTCAGGTTATCTGGTGATAACTGCGACTTCTCTCTTGCTTTATGAATTTCTGCCAACATTTCTGACACATTCTCTTGCATTGCTTAAAAGTGAATAAGAGGCAGAAAGTATATGATGGAACATTTTCTTCCTACAGAGAGGCCGTTCCAAAGGGACCTGCTGATGTGGCAGGTGTCTGAAGGCATGGGTTTCCTGTGCTGGGCTGTTGCAATATTTGTGGTTCTTGGCTGTCATGTAGCTGTCGGTTGAATGCGTACCGTTCTGGTTTGAGCAGGCCTTTGGTACTAGAGAATTGCAATGCACTGCTATGAGGCTGGGTATAAAGTACCCTGTTTGCAGTCCTCTTTTGTTGTATTATTCAAGTTCTCTGCCTTACGGGTTGTGTATTGCTAATACCCTCAGATGGTGGCAGAGGGGATATGCAGACTCCTGCTGTCCTATCTTTGCTGCTCTGGCGATTTCTCTACTTCTTACATCAATGGAAAAAGGAGAGAAGGGAAAATAATTGATATTTGAGCTGCCAGGTGACTGCAGGGAATGCAGCAGGCCTGCGGGAGCAGAGGAAGGAGCGGTGTATGTGGCTAATCTGACCAGCTGGGGCTCCGTTTCTCACCTGGTTTGTGAATGGGTAGCACCAAGAAAGGGAGTTTACAATGCGAAGGGTTGTGTTTCTACTGGGCTTTCAGCCAATACCTATTCACTGGTTTATATCTCTGTTTCAGGAAGCTCCGAGCCACCCTGGATGAGTACACCACCAGAGTGGGGCAGCAGGCCATCGTTCTGTGCATCTCACCCTCCAAACCCAATCCCGTCTTCAAAGTATTCGGTGCTGCGCCCTTGGAGAACGTGGTAGGTGTCTCTAGGAAAAACTATGTAATAAATTGCTCACCTTCTCTGCAGGTTCCATTCTGCTCAAGGCAGCTGTGCAAGCCTAGGAGGGATCTGAAGGTCATGTTTAAAGCTCTGGAAACCAAAATGGAGAGTGTATGGACATGAGGGTAGCATGGGGATCCTGTTTTCTCTGTGTGAATGGTTGCCCAGCACATCTCACCAGGGTTGAAAATCCTGCATTAAAAATCAGAGGGAGCAGGTAGCAATGACGTGTTTGAACTCAGCTCGGCTGTCAGTGCTTGCACCTTGTTGCAGACCTGACAGTAAATGGAACAGATCCAGACCATGATAAGTCTTCCTTCAGAACTTTTCTTTTAATCCCGTAAATACTTCCGCTTGCCACTGTTACTTGATGTTTCATCATCAGTTCTTCGATGCGGCCAAGTCTTTGGGGCCAGTGGGTATTTTTTCTTGCCAGCTGTGGCGTTGTTTGCTCCTTCTGTTCTGCAGCACCTTGGGGAGGGTGGCTGGCCCTGCGTCCTTGCCCTCGCCTCTCCTGGTGCTCCTTACCTTGTTTACCTGAGCTTAACGATTCCCCACAGGTACGCAAGTACAAGAGCATGATTCTGGAAGACCTGGAGTCTGCACTAGCGGAGCATGCTCCTGCGCCTCAGGAGGTTAACTCAGAGTTGCCGCCCCTCTCCATCGATGGCATCCCTGTCTCGGTGGAGAAGATGACCCAGGTAAGCAGCCAGACGTGGCAGAACCAGAGAGAGAGAGAGATATTTGGCATCTTGCAGTCACATCCTGTTATTTTGCAGCGGAGCTTATGCCTCCATCTCCAGGGGATGCATTTGATCTTTTCTTTCCCATGGGACCGTAACAGCTCAGATAGTAGTTAGATGTGACACTTTGTTATTGGTGCTTATTTTTCAGATGATGCTGGTAAGGACTAGTGCTCAGGCTGCCGGGAGCATTCCCCTTTGAGCTGTTTTTGGCACCTCCCGTAAACTATGACCAGGGTAGCTATTTGTTCTGTACTTCACAGTGATTTTTAGGCACTGAGGTCAGGAAGGTTGCTTGTGGAGTACCATTTTGGCTTATCCTACTTGAACATTTCTTGGGTGCTCTAGTTCATTCCCTCCTCAGTTTTCTGCTGTGGATTGGAGCAGAGGGGAGCTTGCTGATGGTTTAACTCCACGTTAGACCCCAAGGGAGATATTTCTGATGGAGCCAGGGAGTCATCTGCCCTAGGAATGTGGGGGACTCCCTTTCTCTCCCGGTCCAGCCCTTTGCTGACCTCCTTATTGCTAGGTGAAAGTGAAGGGGACGCCCCGGGGAAGCTTCCTGATGTTGGAGGGATCATCTGCAGGGAGATGTCCTTCCCCTGGGGTGCAGGACCTGAATGCAGGCAGGTGTGTTTTGCAGGAGGCTCTGGGTACACTCAGTCTGATGCACCACAACAAATTTTAGATGCTGAAAGCCAGTTTCTTCAGAGGGAGTAGTGAGATGGAAAGGGTGGAGACTTTGGGCAACATACAAAGAGGTGTCGTAGCAAAGATGTGCGGATTTCTTCTGTGCTCTGCTGAAAGATCACATTCTGGTTAAACACCGTTTCCGTTACTTAGGTGGAATCAGACAAGCTCACACTTCTAATAAAATTTTACAAAGAAATCTACTGTGCCTTGGCTGATAACAGGTTATATTCCTAATCCATGACAACATAAGGCAAAACATAGTCACTAGATTTTTAAGCCACTGTGGTGGTGGTATCTGCAAGAGCTGTTCACAGGCAGCCTTTGTTTTGTATCATTAACAGTTTCCCATGGAAGTGGGAAAATAAAAAATGGAAACATTTTACTTTTAAGGTAAAAATGAGACCACAAAAAGATCACAGGTATGTAGCTCTGAGTTCATTTGTGTTGGCAAAAAAAAGCCGTTTGTGTTTATCTGACTTCTTTATGGCCTCGTTGTTGTAGTAATTAAGCTGAGTAACAGCAAGAGAAGTGCCTAGGATGGAAAGTGGAGTAGGAGACATCTATGTGGATCTGCTCGGGCAGAGGGAGGCCGTCCTGGTGCGGTCCGAGTGGTGAATCTGGAGGTGCTCGTACCCGTAGCACGTGGGCTCTGAGGAAGGAACAAAGCAAATGAGCTGTTGCTGGTGGAGTGGTGGAAAGAAATGAGAGAGAGGGAAACGAGTGTGGGTGAATGAGATCAGGATGTGAGGTTGTTGCAATCCAGTAACACATCTGAGAACCTTTTCTGGTTTGCCGTGCGCAGAATATGTGCACGTAAAAAAGGGCCAGTAAAAAAGATCTGTCAACTGTTTAGCTGTTAATTTTGCACATGCCGTCAAAGCAGCAATAAAAGTGACAAACTCTCACTTCAGAGAGGCCTTCAGCTGGATTCATAATGCATATTGTTTATTGTTTGTGCTAGGCTTGGAAATTGAATATTTTAACATCAAAGGTTGCTGAAGTGTTTTCTGGTTCTATTTTATGGATAAAATACTAATATCTATAGAATTCTATGGGTAAAATACTAATACTTTTCATGTTAAGCTAAAAATAAGTTTGGAGATTATTTTTTTTTTTTTTCCTTCCAAACATGACATGCCTTGGTTTTTCAGGAAACCTTGCACAAAGATTTGGCCGAGCCCAGTTGCCCCTGGGGTTCGATCGCTCTGCATTTCCACGTGTGAAGCAGCTCTCCAGCCCGAGGCACAAGCTGCTGGAAGGGAAGGGATCTTCTACCCCCGCCACCCCCCCCTGTAACACTCCTGTGTTCCCAGGCTTCTCGTGGCTCTGTTAGATGAGAAATGGTTTTTCTTCTCCGTGTTCTGCAGGGCCTTTGGTCAGCAAGCGTGCAAACTGCTGATGCAAGAGCGTAGCAACGTAGAGCCTCTTATTTCAAGTCCTCACGTGCTGCGTTATGGTAAAACAAGTATCTTGTTAGGAGTAGCCCTTGTCTTTTTAGTACAATGTGGTAACTCGAAACAGCTTTGTGAAGGTTTCTCCTGAGCTGTGGACGGAGTCCGTGCTCTTTGTGCCCCGTTTGGCCGACCATCTCTGTCCCAGTCAGCTCAGCCGCTGTGGTGTGCGCCCGTGTTGTGGGTACCCAGTGCTGCGCTGCCTCCATTCCCCCACATATCATTTAGGGGTGATGTTTTATAAATGTCTTTAAAAATTTTTGGAGATCTTTGAATGTCTGCAGGCCACCCGAGGACAGAGCATTTGATTTAATGGACAAGATTGCAACGCTTGGGTGGATTTTCACAACCCAGCAGGTCTGTCTTGGAAAATTTTCAAGGAGTAGGATGCTGCACGTGGTGCTCAGGAGGTGATTTTGTTGCTGAAAGCATCCAGCTGCTGTATAGGTTTTTTTTGCCAGACTTGGGGGCAAACTTTAAATAGAAACAAAACACAGATATGCTGAATATGATGAGGACACCATGCTGTCTTGGTTTTTGCCACAATTGCAATTTGAAACACATTCGTTTCAGAGAGCAGATGATAACTATGACTCCTACGTCGCTGCGACCTGTTGCGCTGCTAGAGGTGCCATCGTTTTTTCGTAGGACCCTTGATTCCCAGAGCTGCCAATGTGGTTCTTTGTATTTGCTAACAAGAAATGAGCTTTTTCAACTAAGTTGCAGAAAGCCCTGCGGAAAAGCGCAATATTTATAAATACAAATTGGGCAGCACAATTAAGAGGTGTGTCACGGGGAGTGGAAAAACGAGGCCTGTGCTTTCGGCAGCTGCAGGTGTCAGCAGGCAGGTGGTAGAGGCGTGAGCTCCTCAATGAGGAGATGAAAATAACTCTCCTCTTAATTGCTCTGCTTCCCTGGTGGTCTTAAGGGAAATAAAGCCTTTACTAGCCTGAGCAAAGATGCTTCTATAAACTTGAGAATGGAGAGCATCACCCACCACGGCTGTGCAGAAGAATAACCGTATTGAAGTGGGGCTTTTACTCTGCTGCCATTACACAGTAGACTTTGGCTATGTTAATACTATATGTCAGAGCCCAGTTTACCCCTAAACTTGTTCTCAGTTGCTCACTGATATGATTGAGGAGTAAGATTGGGTAATGCCGAGGTCGATGCTTCAGTCAGCTCTCACTGAGGTCACTGTAATTTGTTTATGCTTTTCTGAACGGGTGATTTGTCCTTTAATCTGACAGTTTTTTAAACTTGATGATTTGCGGTCTGCTTATACAAGCCATCAAAGTTTATCCGGGCCTCTCAAAAAATCATCTTGACGTTTGTTTGCGTACTGCCCTGCAAAAAGCTTTAGCACAAACAGCAGATCTCTTTATGCGTGTGACAGTTTGTGTGTGGGAGAAGCCAAGCACCGCAAGACGGTAACTAAACTCAGTTTGCGGTCGTCGGATCCCCTCCGTGCAGGGACAGGGATGATCCTGCAGTGCTGGACCCCATCGCCCGGCTGCAGGGTTTGCTGGTGCTCCCTTCTGGTCCACGTCAGCGGTGTGGTGTGGGGACAGCCTGCGTTTCTGCTCTCCCAGCGGGTCGTTGGGCTGTGGCAGAGCGAACATCCTTCTTTTGCCACGGAGGAACCCCCAGAGTTAGGACTCGGGTCCCCTGTGCAGCTGAGCTCTAGCACTGGATGGTTGTTCCGTGGGAAGGGCAGCGAGCCCTACAAGGTACTGGATGGAGAGAGGAGCGTATACGTCTAACGGCCATGCAGGCAGCTGCCTGCTGTTACAGCAGTTAAGCTCAGAGACTGCTTCGTGCAAGAATAGCACGTTGTGTCCAGCGCTCAGATCTCCAAACTCTGCTAGGAGGTGGTGGTGCCGAGAGGGACAGCCTGGTCCCCTGGTGTGCCCCTCCGAAACGTTAGAACTACTCACTCGTTCTTATGACTTGGGTATGGTTTCAGGGTGGGAGAGAAGAAGGATTTGCATAAAGAGTAAATCCACGAGCAGATGTTCCGTGGGGAGACACACGGCACCTCCTGCTTTTTTGCACGGATGACCAGGTGGGTAATTTTGGGTTGGATTCCTCTGGCCAGGCATAAATTACTGTGTCTGCGGTGTGCCGTCACTTATTTTTGAGGACACCCAGGCTGTCGCTGCGCCTTGTCTTTGCCGTGATGAATTTATGACAGCGACAAGCCCGATGTCATCCTGCTTGCCCAAAAGCACCCAGCAGTGAGACCTCGCCGAGTTCAATCACGGCCATGTGGGTTTTCATATCAAGAAATTCATGATGACGGTGTGGTTGCTGCCTTGACAGATGCCTGGCTTTTTAATCTGAATGTTGAAACATTAATTGGAACTTTTAAATGTAAAAAACATTTAGTCTAAAAACGGCTGGTGCAAAAAGAAGGGGCCGGTGAACACAACACCTGAGTGCTTTGCTGCCGTTGCTGCTTTGCCCTCTTCCACGCTGAGGTGCAGCCGAGGTCCTGCGTGGACTCGACTTCGCTTTTCCCACGTGCTGCTTTTTGGAGGTCCTGTGACTGAGCTGTGGGAACAGGTAGAAAATACCCAGCGTGGGTTTTGCTCCCTTCTGGAAACCACATTCCTTAGCAGGGCATAAACCTTAAAACCGGAGCATTGCTGGGTGCTCCGCACGCTGGACAACTTGTTCCCAGCACTGGCGCGCGGTTGTCCACACTTTGGGCCATTGCAAATGGTAGAATCACAATTAGCTCACTACCACTAACGCTCGACTTTAATGTTAAAACTTAGAAGACACTCGGTCTGTGTACCAAAGGGTGTAAAAGAAACATTTCTTACAGTTTCTCCCAAACCCTTTATGATTATATGAGCCTTTTCCAGAGCTGGCAACTGTGCAAATCGGAGCGAGCTGCTGTTTTGGTTTTTTTAGCAGAGGTTTGATTTTGATTTTTTTTTGGGTGGTTCATGGATGGAGATCCCTGGAGGTATTTAAGGGTTGTGTAGATATAGTGCTCAGGGACATGGTTTAGTGGTGGGCTGGTCGGTGTTGGGTTAATGATTGGACTAGATGATCTTACAGGTCTTTTCCAATCTAGGAGATTCTGTGATTCTGTGAACGTGTGGCTCCCACAGATGAAGGGATCGCACCAGTTCCTCCCAGTGGCGCCCTGAGAGACGCAGGGTCTTTGTCTCCGTGCCGTAGCCTGTGTCAGAGCCCTGTGCGCCGCCTGGGTGAGGTCTCGTTATGGCACTAATTAGAGAAGTCCTCGTGCTGGAGCAGGTTGTAACGCCGCTGCTGATTGTCTCCCTGGCGGATTAAAGGCAAACCCTCCTTAACAAGTGCCTTGAGTAGCTTGAGCCGCTGAACTCCCTAGGACCAGTAATTAATCCATCTGGTAACAAGGAACATGGCTCGCAGATAGCAATTCTGGGAAGGAGCTTTTAACTGTTTTTTCACCAGGCAACTCAATGCCCTTAGAAGGTTTATTTGAATAACTGGGGCCTCGACTGGGGAACCTGAAGCATGTCAGGGTGACTGTTGGCCCTGCAGTGGAAGGTGCGTCATGGACAGGCTTGGCCTGGGCTGGGAAAAAGGGCACCAAAGTGAGGGTTTTTTGCCTCCCTTTATAATTCAGGGGTTTGGTACGGCTTCTCTGAGCTGGCCCAGGATGTGCATGGAGTGGAGGAACTGAAATGCAGCTGCTTCTTTGAGCAGGGCTGGTTCTTCTGGGGCGTGCAGCCGATACGCTATATATGGACACACAAGTATACTGGATTTTTAATGCCTTTAAAGTCCCTAGCCGCCGCCGCTGCAAACTGTACGCAATGTGGTACATCATGCATACAAAGAAATTGTTTTCTTTTTGCAAAAACACACTTCAATTTTTCTATTTAACTGTGTTAGCTAGACCCCATGTTACATCTTCTAGTTGGGCTCTGGCTTTGAAGAGCAGTCCTGTGTCCTGAAGAGCCGCTGCAGATCCCAGTGCGTTTAGTGCTGTGCTTCAGGCTTTTTGCAGAGACCACAGAGACAATCTGGAATCTCCTGTTCCTCTGAAGCCTTCCTCCATTCCTCTGCCAGATGGATGTTACAGGAGACTTTAGTACATACTCCCTATGCTAACGTGGAAAAAGCAGCTTGTAAATGAGTTGATTTACAGCTTGGAGCCAAAGGATACAATATCCAGACTAGACCCAGGATGTCATTCAAGCAGGATTGTGCCTGGGAGAAAGGGACACTCTTATGGCAGAAGAACAGGGATGGGTTAGAAGTACTCCATGAGCTGACCCGTGTCTCTGCTAGCTGGGACCACGTCGTGGCTGTGGCAGCAACCGATGCTGGCCGCAGCATGCTCTGCCAAGGCTGTGCCCCAGAGCCCTGAACGTGTAGGTGTCTTCGAGGTTGTAAGGTGCCCCAAGGACTCCCAGCGGCACTGTCAAAAGCTCAAATAACTTTTTCTTAAAGCTACGAAAGGATGCAGGGAGGTGTTCTTAAATGCAGCTATTTAGCTTTGAGTTAACGTGGTTTTCTTGGACGTATGTGGTCGTGATCTCTGCCTCTCTTCCTGCTCTCTTTCTGCAGCTGAAGCAGCGCCTTTTCCTGAGGCTCCAGGCAGTGCCTGGTACAAAAACCAAATGTGTCATAAAACCCTGTGTGAGTTTTGTATTCTCTTTGGTAACGCAAAGGCTATTACTTGCTCTTGGTGACACGTCTGCGCGATTTGCTTTGCAAGTCTATTTTTAAGGTATCATCTCCTGATGGCAAAGGCGGCCACTGGTTGACCAGTGGGTACTTAGGAGAAGTAAAACCAGGTTGAAAGGTGTCAACACTCTGGCAAAAGCTAAAAATAGATTCAGAAAATTAGGCCAGTGTGTGTTACGTACTGCAGGGATGGAGAAGCGTATGTGTGAGATTATGGTTTTTACATTCGAGCGGCTCACTGGAGCTCCATCCTCTTTGCAGCATCTGTGTAAAACGTATGTCAGCTCACGTCTGAGTTCCCGTCGCTGTGGGGATATTGAGTGTGGGGTTTTTTTCTGTGTTACTCTGATTTAATTTTTTTTTTTCTCCCTCTCAGGTTGGCTAGCTCTCTTCATGGTAGTGTTTGGTCCGTGAAGTGTGTTAATACAGCGTGTGTTTGTGCCTTATTGTTGTAATTGGATGACTTAATTTTGTTTCCGCTCTT